GTGCCTATGATAAGTGGCTTTTACACTGCAGTCCGCCACAGGGAGCGGGGACTTGATGATGACTGGCAGTAGCCCAGACTGAGGCAAGGTGGGGATTAGAGGGTTGGGTGTTCCCCAGAGAGGGGAGACCCAGAGGCAGAGTGTGGGGGTATTGCCAGGGGGCAGCACCCCAGATAAAAGGGCACCAGGGTCTGGGAAGGACACGAGGCCAGCGGACAGCGAGACACCGGCTAGCAGAGGGTGCTCTGTGCTGGAAAGAGCTAATTCCCGGATGACCAGCAGGAGGCGCTGCAGGGGTGAGTCGTCATGCTGCTACAGTAACCTAATTGATTTCCAATGGGACTATTCATGGAGCAGAGTACCAGTCAATGTAATGATGTCAGAATCCGGCACTAAATGCCCTTTGGTACTTATTACAGGAATGGGAGTTTTAGCCCCAGCTTCTTGGCAAACTTTGACCTTAACAACACGCACATTCTGGCCTAGTTATCTAAATATCAGCAGTTGCCTTAGCTTCCCACTTTGATGCAGGGTTCCCTGCATCACAGATTTCATGTAACCCTACTTCAAAATTAAACTTGATCCAGAGGGACAACAATGGTGCCCAGATACCACAATGTAACTGCAGTATAAGACTTCGATAGATTGGAGGGATAAGGATGCACAGATGAACCAGAAAAAAGCCTTTCCTCACCAATCCATTCTGAACTGCTATTTCACCATTTACTCCTGCCTCTCAGATTACTGCCTGCCTGCTCTGTAGGAGGAAGGTAGATTCCAACATGTCTGCAATACTGTTTCTAAGGCACACTGCTAGATGGCGCTAGAGTGTAAAACATATCATAAAGGGAGAAATCCCCTGGGAGCAAAACTTTGCCAAACCAGTCTCTCCTGGGACAGCGTGTGGCTGTCCATCATGCCTGCTTCGGTACAAGGATCACATTAGCATTTGGAAGAGACACTCTGTACCTATCCCAATGGTTGTTTCTGGACTCCTTAGCAATGTTTCCTCAGAAATCATTAAGGTGGCAAGACAGCTGAATCTAGCTTCAGGATTATCATAACCTAAAGGTATGTCTACACTGCAATAAAAGAGAACACAGCAGGGCTGTGGATGGCCCAGATCAGTTGACTCAGGCTCACAGGACTCAAGCTTTAGGGCTATAAAATTGCAGTGTAGATGTTCAGGCTTGCGCTGGAGCCTGGACTCCGAGGGCATGTCTACACTACAGTTAAAAACCCATGTCTGGCCCATGCCAGCTGAGTAAGGCTCAGGGGACTCGGGATAAAGAGCTGTTTATCTGTGGTGTAGATGTTGTGGCCCAGGCTGGAGCCTGGGCTCTCGGACCCTGTGATGTGGGAAGGTTCCAGAGCCTGGTCTCCAGCCCGAGCCAGAACATCTACACTGCAATTAAACAACCCCTTAACCCAAGTCAGGTGGTCCGGGCCAGCCGTGGGTGTCTAACTGCAGAGTAGACATACCCTAAGACACCGCAAGGGGGGAGGGTCTCAGAGCCTGGACTCCAGCCCAAGTCCAAAGGCCTACCCTGCTATTTTTAACCCTGCACTCCAAGCCCCATGAGCCGCATCAGCTGATCCAGACTCTGAGAGTTGGTGCAGCAGGGTTTTATCGAAGCATGTACATACCCCAATAGTGCATGATGGAACACTCCGAAACAGCCCTGCAACAGAAGTCCCTCCCTGTTGTAAGAAGAGAGGGATGGATTCTAAATACCTTACTCAGGTAAACTATTAAATCTTTGCAGGCGCTTTATCTGAGGAAGAACTTCAGGATTTGGCCCCAAAAGACCAGATGTTAAACATGTATGAGTACTGCTATTAAATCAGAAAAGTAGAAGGGTGTCACATGATTTCACTGAAAACCAGGTAGATGCCAATGTATTGCACATTAGACCTCAGTTTGAAATGCAAGAGACTGAAAAAACCCAGATTTTTGAAATACAAGAATGCTTCCATTTTGTTTTCACCCTGGTGCTGATCAACAAGACAGCCCATGGTTCTAGTAGCTGGGTCAGTAAGCCACTTTATTAGAGATTGTTGAACAGCATTCATGTTTTCTACGGCGCAGCTTCCACAAACACAAACCACTGGACTTAGACCTTGAATTTGACCCTATAGGGTACACCAGAATCTATGAAAGCTTGTACAAAGGGAGTTATTGAACTGAGCTAGAAAAACTGCAGACATGTTTTCCTAAGTACCCATATCAAGAGATAGTCCACATTAAATCAAATGGTACAACATGAGCCGGATTTTTTTCAGTAGCAGCTTGTAGTTTTCCCACAACACATCAGGCAGTGAGAGGTCTGAGTGCTATGTAACCTACCCAACAATTGTTTGTGCCTGTTTTCATTTGTGGCTGCAAAAAGATAGACTTGAAATACAGAAAAAAATAAGCCTCAGAATAATGTTTTGCTTTGATTAGGGTAGCTGAATTCATGCTAGGCTAAGGCTCTGTCTACAATGAGATTAGACTGTCTGAGGTAAAAATGCCAGCAGCCAATACACGTTAGTGCTCTCATTGTTGTTAGTATCAGCGCTACAACCATAGTGTTTTTGGTGACCATTTCTCATCAGTGTAGGCCCAACCCAAGAGTATATCAACTTTGCTACAGTTTGAACAGGTCAGGCATTCACCGCTGGCTCATTTCATTTTTTAAGTGTGCTTTTAGAAAATCAGATAGAGAGCTAGAAGTTTTGGTGTATATACTTTACTTGTCTGAGAGCTGTCCTGATATAAAGGATCCAACCAGTACACCCACAAAAAACAAGGAGGCAGTTAAGGGAGCTTTCCAGTCATCATCACATACCAGATTCCACTGCAAGAGAAAAAGAGCGAGCCTTAACATTACAAGTTTATCAATAACACTTTGATTTTTTTCTTCTAAATTAACCAAGGTTAATCCAAATACCTTGATGGTAAATGATTCAAACGTACACTCTGAAAGGAAAAAAGCCCCCACCAAACAAACAAAAAAACTGTCAACCTGTTTAGGCCCCAAAATATAACTTCATGAAAGATCATTTAAATGGCAGAATTGGAATCCAGAGCCTAATTCTGCAGCAGGGGTGAATTCCTTGTCATCTTGGAAAACTTGGGGCCTCAGTAACAATAGATTATTCACATCATGTGTAGTTCCCCCACCCCCAAAGGGATTTTTCTTCTTTGAAACAAAGATAAATCAACTAGTATGGCAGTGTTTCTTTATGGGCCTTATCTAAGTCCCGCTAAAGACAATGGAAACATCCTATTAAAGTAAAGAAAATAAAAGAATAATTTTAAAAGTTTTCCATTAGATCTTTGGATTTCTGACTTGGGACAAAATGCAGGGAACTGCAAGGGAAACTTCTCTTACCTTAACACCATCTTCCTCAAAACAATATAAAGTAGAGACAGGCCTCCACTGAGCAGAGAACAAGCTATCCATTGTGCCTAGTTATGCAAGCAGGGTTTGTGACATGCTCCTACGCTATGGTTTTGCTCCACTATGCAACCCAAGAGTGCAGATTATGCAGTTATTCAGGAGCAGAATTTCCAGATACTGTTCTTACTGTAACCCCCCCCCAGCTAGGCTTAAAGGATATATGCAAAAAGGGGGAAAACAAAAAATGCAGGGCTCCAGAAATTCTGCTTGGGAATGGTTTGGTCATAAACTTCCCTTCCAAGAAATGCAAACACAAACATACAGTAAGAAGGTCAAGTGTTTGAGTCTCATTACTGACAAATATTGTAGGGAAAAGGAAAGGGGGGGAGAAGATATCAAATCAACAAAGGCATGCAATAGTTCACAACTGTTCACGTAGCTGAGGGGAGGCAGAACAGATGTTACTAAAATAATAAAACCTTCATAAAGCACTTTAAATCTTAAGGTGATATATTAGCAGTAAGTAACGAAAGAGGCTTAATTTTATTAATATTATCTGGAATTTTTTTAAAAATTCGTTTACTAGAGCCAAACAAAACAAAGCCAGCACGGAAGGCAAGTCACCCATAGCTAGCTGTTCTATCACCTGCACAGGAATAGTTGTGGCATTCACCCCCTGCTGAGGTTTGCTTGTTAAAGGGATTTAACAGAGGACCAATGAACTTTGGGGAAGAGAAGCAGGAGCAGTGCACCTAATAGTAGGCTGAGCATGTGACTGGAAGCCAGAAATTCAGGAGTTCTAATTCTAGCTCTGCCTATGTGGCAGGGCCAAATCCTGCTTGTCTCACTCATCCATAGAGTTCCACTGATTCAAATGCTATGGATGGATCCTGACCCTGCTGTCCAACAAAGAGAGTCAGAGAACAAAGTAATCCAAGGGAGAGCTTTGAATCGCAGAGAGGGAAGCAGTCTCCTGATCTCAGGGCTGGCTCCAGGCACCAGCCGACCAAGCACGTGCTTGGGGCAGCACCTTATAAGGGGTGGCCAATGTTGGGGTGGAGGGGGGGTGCTTGCGGTGTTTTGTTTTTGTTCGCGGGGTGGCGCTCGAGGGTTTGGTTTTTTTCCCCGGTGGCGCGGCGCTGGGGGGGGGCGGGGGCTTCGGTGGCATGGATCCCTGAGATTTAGACACACCCCAGAAACAACTTCATTTATGGTCTGAGCCTTTTCCCCTCTTTGCCTTCAGACTATTTACGTCAGGAGGCAGCACCTCGTCAGCCCTTAAGGATCTACCTTAATAGCAGGTACAGATGGATCGAGGCTGGATTTTCCCCGGGGGTTCTGGGCCCACTGGCAATGCAGTCCTGGGAAGGAGGGAAGCTATCCCCATTTTGAGCTAGGACTCTAGAGTGAAGCAAATGCTGAGGCCCTAAATTCCTACTATTCCCTGGTTCCTGCTGACCATCCCTATTCCCTGCAAGGAGCCAGTAGTGGGAGAGTAGGCTGCACAGAGAGTAGAGGCAGGGATGAGCTAGCATGAAGCTCATAGCAGCTCTGTGCAGGGTTGTGGGACCAACAGATGAAAAGAGTTGGCCAGGCAGTGTAAGGCTGTTGTCTGGATGGGTGTTGGGTGAGTTTCTGCTGATCTACACTGAGGACAGTTCTTACTTCTTTCTGGAAAGGGAGTGGGGCAGGAAGGAGGGCTTGTGTGGGATGAGAGGAGGTTATGGAGACTGAGGTATTGAAGAGGACAGTATTCTCAGTACCTTAGTACAGAGCAGCGAAGAACAACTGCAGTTCTCTAAAGGCCTGGATGCTGTCAGCTGGTTTCCTTGAGGAGGAACCTTAGGCCTCCCCCTCTCTGACTTGAGGCTGGTACTCTGCTCTGGGCCCCTGGTTTTCTCCCTACTGTTGTGCAGGCCTGCTAGTCTTTAAGAACTTAGGACTCTGCAAAGGGCAGTTATCAATAAGAAGGGGACATGCTGGCAGCTCAGGCAGGGCCGGCTCTAACTTTTTTGCT